CAGACATTATCTCTCATTGCGCATGCGTTAATAACGTAAACAAATATTTATTTTGAATTTGTATTGATTTTGTTATTGTCGACCAGTGTTTTAGAGAACAAATAATGACTTTGTCCAAGAAAAAACACATTACAGCTGAGTTAAATGAAGAGTGCTATGTTTAATGAAGAAGCTATGTTTAATGTCAAAATCAAAATCTTGACTGATTTCAATGTGCTGTTGGATGTTGTCCGCCATTGCTTCTGTGATTAACGTCACGTTGTAATCCAACTGCAGTTGAGTTTGACGGCAATTGTAGTTCAAGATGAGCGTTCGATGACGTATACTATCAAACTTACAAATGGACCAATCAGAGGTTAGCGCTGATTTCCAGCTGACGGCGTCTTGTCCTAAGAAACCAGGCCTTAAGAGAGGTTTTGATTGTGTCTCTTAAAACTTTCTGCAACATGAAGTCTATGGAAAAAATTCCCTGCCTCCCAAAAGTGGTCGCTACATAGAGGTCGCTACGCAGTCTATACTGGAGGTTTCACTGTACCTTGTTTTTTCTCTCCTGCTATCTGTACACCCACAGAGATTTATGAAATCATGAAAGGGAATTCCCCGATAAAGCAGACCCCTTACGGGCTTCAAATATGTTGAGTACAGTTACAGTTCAATACAGTGTTATTAATCTGCTAAAGGTAGCTCTTGTAAAACACCTATATTAAAAAAAAGTTTAAATGGAAAATAATGTTTGGCACTTACCGATTAAGTAAGGAAAATTAGATCGATGCTATAAAAAATTTAAAGACCAGATGAAGTAAGGAAATATTATAATGTATGAAATTCCCTTATTTTGTTTTTATTTTTTAGTTATTTTTAGAAGATAATCGTTATTGTCTGTTTTTTTTATTTCAGCCCCAAAGTGATAGTCTATCCTTAAAGTCCTCTAGGAACTTCAAACCAGGAAAATATTCGGTAAGACTATCGGAATTTTTTTCAAATTTTTTTTTAGTTCTTTTTTTTTATATAAATTTCTAGCTCACTTCGCTTGCCAACCACCGTATTTGATTCTCATTCATCATTGTATTTTCATCTTAAACGTCAATATTTTTCACAAAAACAACAGAACATTTTGACTCCAAAGGATACAATTATTATAGCTTTATGTTAGAACATTTTGTTAATGTGTTTAATAGACAATTAACTAGTTTTGAAAAATAATAATCTGTACTGTCAAAATAATATGCCTAAGGAATACAGATACATGTGAGATTCAATATGAAGAGATAAATAAGAAGTCATTTTATTAGTTGAACAGACTTCAAATAAGGAACGGTTTTTATCGTTATTCATTGAATTATTTTTTTTTTTAAACTTTCACTGTGAATGTTAAGATTTATATCTGGCTGCATGTAGTCTCTCTCTTTTTCTACTTTTGATTGAACTTTAGGAAATAAATAAAAATCTCATTGGGAGAAAATGAATTTTCTACAATATATAAATAGTCAATATTTAAAGCAAAAAAACTTAAGGAAAATAACGAAAAAGCATTCAAATTAGCAATAACCTTCGAACACATAGGAATTTCGGAAAAAAAACTCTCTTTAAAAATTATAATACAAAATAGTCCTGCGAGCGCTTCAAGGGCTTAAATGCCCCCACCCCCTAAATTAAGGGCGTTTATATACCTGTTATACCTAGAAAAGTCAGACAAAATTTTTTACGGAAATTGAGTGGGTATCCTGTCACTCCTTAAATGTTCAAAGACTTCCTTAATTATAAAATGTATCCTCACTTGACTAAAAATTTCCTTGATTACACCCTTCCTATAATATTAACTAACTTTGTAAGTTAAACTTTAAAATTCCTCCTTAAATATTAAAGGACCTCCTTATTATTAAATCGAAAAATCTTTCTTAATTATTGAAATTCAAACTGATTGGCGTGGGAACCAATCTTTGCTTCACTTAAAAAAGGACGACGCTGTTAATAAAACGGAAGCATTCTTATGCAGTCCTATAATTGAATGATATATTCCATGAGAATCCTTCGGTAGTTATTAATTTATTTATATATCTACAATAAGAACAGTTTTAAAGCTATAGATTATATTATGATCGATGATATCGCAATCTTTATTGTCTACTATAAATACTGAACGTGTCAAGTAACAACTATTCAAAGCGATAACATTTCAATCATTATCAATAACGATTAAAATCGAATACTTAAATTTCTGAGTTTTAACGAAAAAGATAATTATCGAATGCTATATTATTGTTAGTGTTGATAAATCTTATTTGGTTATTATTTAGCTTTTGTTAAATAGTATTTTATTTGGCTTTAGTTATTCTCCAATGTAAGAATGACGTAAATTAGTTTACCTGAAAAATATCGTGAAAATTAATATTTTTCTAACGGTATATCAAATTATTAAAAATCCGATGTCACCCAGAACTAATCGAATTCTTTAATTTCTAAGTTTTAACGAAAAGGATAATTATCGAATGTGATAGTATTAGTGTTGAAAAATTTTATTTCATTATTATTTGGCTTTTGTTAAATATTATTATATTTGACTTTGGTTAAATATTAATCTATGTAAGAACTATGCAAATTTGTTTACTTTAAAAATATCCTGAATATTTGTATTTTTCTAACGATATATCAAATTATTAAAAATCGGAATCGATGTCACCCGGAACTGATTGTGAATTTGGTGATAAAATTTTACTTTTGAATAACGAAATTTGTGATTAATGTAAAACGAACACAAATTAGTTATTGGGAAAATATCGAAATACATCGGAAATATCGATATATCTTGACAGTGTATCGTAATACTAAAATTCCGATGTATCCCAACACTAATCGAGCAAATGTTATTAGAAATAACATTAAATCAGACGTCAACGGAGCGTGAAACTCCTTTTAAAAATGAGCAAATCAGTGAAAATAAATTAAAAAGGGGGCGTATAATGAAATGTACCTTACCGAGTTTTATTTGTTCGAGATCTTCAGTGACAAAGAAAATGGATGAATTGGAAGAAGGGGGGCAATAATACAAATAATAAATTAGAAGTGAGATGAGAAAGTGCATAGAAATGTTTGTCATACTTTTGAAATGAAATGGAAATACCATTATTCTCGAACCCAGACTCCTGCGGCTTGAAGCATCATTAATTTGGAAAGATCTCTGGATACGAGAATAGCGGCCCACTTGGAGGGTTGGGTCGTCGCAAAAACCTAGAATACAAATGGATTAATTGAGATTGGATGTCCCGGTGAATTGGATTTCATAAAAGTTTGAATGCAAAAAATTGTGTGCTTGGAAAAGTTCATTTGTGGGTGGAAGTTTAGAATGATATTAGATGAATAAAAATTAATTTTGCATGTTTGAGATTGATTAAATATTATATATCACTACGGAAAATTTTCTGTTTATTAATCCGCTTCTAATTTTAGAAAAATGTATCCATATATTTTAAAAAATATTTTAAGGATTAATATAGGCATTAGGTTTTTAATACTAGATTATTTCATATATTTTGTCTATCCATGTATACCTTCGTTTGTTAATAAGTTCTTATTTTAGGAAAATTTATAATTACTTAATTAATTTTTTTTTCTGTTCAATCTATGAAGGGGTTAGAATAACCTTCTATAACATTCCTAAACAAATTTGATTTTTACTAGTGGTCAACATCTGAAATAGACATGTATTGAACTTAAAAGGTTGGTCAACCTGACCGATTCACTGTAGCTTATAGTTACAATTTTGGTTTCTATGTTTATGTAATTCCAAGCTAAATAAAAGATATGAGAAAAAAATTGGGTTAATTTTTTGTCACCTTTTAATTTAACTTTAAAAGAAGGAAAAAAAATTCCATACAAACAAAATCTATTTTCTAATATTCCTATTTTAGAATCATCCTATGCTATAGCACAATCAAATTACAAAAGAGAGAAAAATCTTTAAAAAAAATTACTAAAAATAAAAGAACAAGCAATTGTAAATAGAAACCGAATAGAAAATATTTCAAAATCCCTCATAATGAAAATGCCATTCCTCATTTGAACCCAGGTGGCAAGATAGGCACACGGGGCACAATAATAACCCCGAAAGTGGCGTCCTCACCGCGAGAAAAGATACTTTTCCTGCAAGTTAATGTATTCAAACAAGAAAATCTTCATTCTATTTTCTTCTTTTACTTTGAAAGCAGTAGATACTTTCCCCGGAAACCTCCAGAAAAAAACTGGAGAAGGGGGAAAAAGAAAAGCCCAGATAGTGCATCACTTGGAATTTTCGCCTAATCAAATTTTGTCTTTTGAGTTCACAACGAATTTCTTCTTCCATCTTTCAAGTATCATTATCAGCCTTTATAAACGTGTTACGGGAGAATAGGCTAGGGCTATAGCCCGTCTTTTTATCCCCCATGGGGGACCTAAGAGCGCGTGCGATGAATATGGAATCACCTTGTTCCATTGTTTGGGGGGCATCGTCTATATGGCTCTCCATGAGCAAGCCGAATGCCGTGATTACCGTTATATTGGTGTAGACACCTTCTTTTTTTTTTTAAAAAAAAAGCAACGTATTCCTTTTTAGTCAACGTCGGGTGGGCAAGGAGATGCAATTGGGTGGGCAAGGAGGGGTACACACTTTTTTTTTCTTTCAATAGTGCTAGCTTCAAGCACCTTTTCGAAAAGGGATGGGTGTAGTGAAATTCAATTCTGATGCGGTGTTATTGATGCTAGTGAGTTTAGGCGGGGGTGGGCCTATTATATGCCAAAGAAAATTGAGGAGGGAATGATTAGGAAGATGGTGTCTGTCTTGTCTGTGAATGACTTGGCTTCTCAACTTCAGGGGGAGCGGACGAGACACTTTCGTCGACTGTGCCACGCGTAGTTATTCATGCCATACTCATATCAATTTTCATAAATTTGCATACTTGAAGATCCTAATCTTTTCTCTTTTGAGTGTTATTCGACGAAAGCTATCTTTCTACTGGAGAAATAGATGCTTGAAGAAGTATCATTAATACTTTTTATCCCCAGCGTTGCATGGAACATAAATCTTTACATCGATTTGACATTTTTTTGTGTGTGTTTTGTGATAGCAGTCTGTAACGTGGTTGCTCAGATTCTCGGCTTGCAGATCAGAATCTAAATATGAGTGTTTTATGTTAGGTTGTAGAAAGGAAGTATTTGATATTGAGCTGAAATTTTTAAAATGCTGTGTCAAGCATTAGTCAAAGAAGCATTACAAACAAGCATTATAAGGAAGACTACATAAAGCATCGCCTTAACCTATCCTTCAGTGTCTTGGATTTACAAAGAAAGATTTACTAGCAGGTACCTAGATAACAATTAATGAATAAAAAATAAATAAAAAGTGCATTTGAGTATTTGGCGTTGAAATGAAATCCATAAAATTATATGTCGAAGAAACATTATGAACAAATGTTATAAAGAAGACTACATAAAGCATCGCCTGAACATATCTTGCAGTGTCTTGGATTTACAAAGAACGATTTAATAGCAGATCTCTAGATAATAATAATAAATAAATAAATATAATAAAAACGGTATTTGGTGTTGAGTTGTAATCATTAAAATGCTGTGTTATGCATCAGTCAAAGAAACTTTATAAAGAAGAATATATAAAGTATCTCCGGAACATATCCCACAGACTTACAAAGGAAGATTTAATAGCAGATTCCTTGACTCTAATCAATTTCATCAGCGTCAACAAACTAATGGAGCTAATCTGACTTGTGTCAGTTGGCTCAAAGGATTAGAAACAGTGTTAAATGTCGATGTGTCCAGTTGAAGCCTTCAATCACTGTCAGCAATTCGCTGATTCCCAACATTCACTCTCAGAAAAAATTGGTTCAACTTCGAGTAATAATATCGGTACCTTGAACAATAATACTATTTGAATTTGCTACAAGGTATTATTTTTAATCTAGATTTCTTTAAAATTAAGCCATAATGTTCCATGAATTATTTTAAAGATTTACTTGCACATTAATGGGGCTCATATTGGCGCCATATTGAGGTTTCTACGAATTTAAACGTACTACAGTTTAACGCGCCTCTAACTGATCACGACACTCGCCTCAGACCTGGGACCCATGTTTCAATCGCGATATCGATTGTTTCCTACTCTACTCTCAGTATGAACGAATCACAGTGCTGATGTAAAATATTCTCAGTGGTAAATGGATCAAAGGACGAGAATCCAATTGTTGTTGAGCTGAACATGGAATGTTAGTTGCTTATCTTTCTCAGTCTAAAGAAATGTGGAATAGTCTTTCTTGAAAAGTTTAGTGATATATAAGATATGTTTTTTCCTTTTTTAAAAAAAGACCAGTTGTCTTCAGGGTTGGGTTGTAGATTTGGCGATTGCAGAATGAAACATCAATTGCCAAATATTTAATATATAGCCCGGATTTTAATCAGAGTTTTAAAATAAACAGTCCACTCGCCAAGGAACAGAACTCGGTTCTTTCTCAAGTGGAAATCTAAATTGGCATTCCGTCTTTAGTTAATCCTTTGACGCAGATGGGACACTGGTGTCCATTTTATATACTTTTTTTTCTGACGCTCAAATTACAAGCAGAAATATATTTCGGTATTTTGTTTATTTATAAGAAACAGTCTTATACTTTTCTGAAATAAATCTATTAGATTATCGGAATTATATTTGTACTAAAGTCTAAAATCTAAAAAAGGATAAAAAAAAATTTTTTTTCATTCCTATTTAAAAGATTATCAATAATTGATTTTGTAAATTAAAGAAATTTCAATGATAAATGACTGTTTTTCTTAGATATAAATAACAAACTTGGAAAATTATTGTTTGGAAGTGAACCTTGTTTGGAAGATTTTACCTTCGATGCAAAACAAGACATCGGTGTTTCGTGCTGTATTTCATAACCATAAATTATTAAAATGCTAAACATAATATTTTTTAAATAAAATTTTACCTTCATAGGATTAAAAATTTAAACTTATTTTGAGATTAATGTTTATAATTGTATATTTTAAACCATTTTTATACGATCCATACATTACTATAAGGAAAAAACACACCAAGTATGATATTATTATGTAACTTGCGGTGATAGTAGTTATTGACCGTGCCAACCTTCTTCTACAAATGGTATTCTAAGATTGAATTGAGTTAGTATGTCTTATATACTAGTGAAGTGATGTTTAATAATTGTAGTGGTAATTACGCCGCAATACTTCTCCACCAGAATTTTATTTGGGATGGAGTTCGATAAACGGATACCGCTAGTTGTCGTATTTGCAAAAGATTTGGAGAGGTGTATTATGTTCACCGGGTTTTGAGAGTTTGTCATGAGAGCTGTATTAAGTTCACGGCTGTCGGTGGTTTCTCATGGGTTGCTTTTAGCAGTCGAGTGTGTGCAGGATCCCGTTGTGTGTAATAGAGACTGAGTAGCAACAGCGTGAGGAGGACAATGACGCAGTCGCAGATAGCGGGTCAACATTTCAATGTGTACCATCCGTCGAATTAGGCGTGTCCATATCACATCCTGCGGTCACCATTGTGGGGAAAGAGCATTCGACTATGCCAACATGTTAGCATGACTTATATACTAGTGAATCGATGTTTAATAATCGTAGTGGTAGTTACGCCAAAAACTATATTTTAAAAAATGGACCTTTTTCAATTTAATGTTTCGGTCTATTTTCCTATAAAATTAATTTCTGCTTATATTTCAGCCGTCCAGCTGTCTCAGTGACCACGAAGAAGAAAGTATATATTGTGTGTACGAAGTTCCTCCTAATTTCTCTTCCGAAAACCCGTCCTCCAATATAGATACTCCAGATCCCCTTAGGACAACTAGGCCACAAAGGTAAGCAACATTTTCATTTTATTTAATAGTCCCACTCACTGACACTCGCCAATTCCGATAAATGCCTCACTATAATTCATTTTTCTTGTCAAATTAATGTAATTTTCACCAAAAATAATAATTGTAATAACATTAGACACCAATTTAAATAACTTTATCTTAAAATGTAACGTAGAAGTAGGTAAGGGAATTGTTTTTTTATTATTATTATTCAAAACTCTTAATTTAGAATACAAACAAAATCAAAAGCGTAATAATAACAGTACTACTTCCACTTAGTAGGAATAACATTTACCATGACGCAATGTTAAATTCTATGCCACTATCCACATAAATGCCACTATCCACATAAATCAATTATTAATCAAAACTCGAATATCAATTACTTTTCTTTATAATGCAATAAAATCTGGCGAGCAGCTATTTAAACGATCAAATACTTCGTTTGTTTATTTGTGGCTTGAAGTTAGGCTCGCAGAAAATGCCGTTCATGGGTTAAATTTAGTAGGAATAACACAACCTGTGACGTAGGCTATAGTATACCCAATTAGGGATACAAAATTATATTTATAGGAAAACAATAACTTATATAAATTTTATGCTGATGACAACCAAACCAATATGAAAATTAACGTGGTAAAAATGTGATTTTCCGGCCCATAAAATGGCCGACAAGAGTGAAAAACTGCGGACACCCTCTTTAGATTATTATATATAGTTAGATTTACTTTATTTACTTTTACAACTGTGAAAAATTAAATCTCACAAGCAATGTCACTATTTTAATTGGAAAAAAAATCAGTTTTAAAGATCCGTGAACAACATAAGTACTCTGGGTACAGAATTTGAGATGGATCTTTCTCTGGTTCAGATCATAATTACGATCTGTGGATGAATGAATGGGTCCGCCCTATAAATGAGTGTGACGTATAGCAGAAATCAAATTCTTGACCATAGATGGCGCCACTGAACAGGAACCATTACACATCTTACCTTAATGGTCTACGACGACAACAACAATCGTTTCATCAAATATGGTTCAGTTTGGGACTTTGTAAAGACAGCAACAAATTTGTGTTTAAGAGTATATTACGTTAAGCTGTAAATATGTCCGGCTCTTTATAAATGTTACTTACATCTAACAATAAGGCAAGTAAATTTTAAAAAAATCGTCCATGTTTTTTAATGTGTCTGATATTTTTTAGAAATTGGAGTATCATTACTCAATCTTGCTAGTTTTGCTTAGACTTATTGCTTAGACCTTTAAAAAAATATTTACAATAAGTCTTAAGATAGCTGCTGTGTCTCAGGAGTTAGACCGTTGGCCTCCCAGTGAGGTAGCCTGGGTTCGAATCTCAACGATGACTGGAATATTAGAATTCTGCTCCCGATTCGTATCGTCGACAATGCTGCCGTAAAATATCCTCATGGGTAGATGGATCATGAGGGTATGAATTCCCTTGGTGTCGGGTTAACCGTCGAAGACATTCGTGGTTTTCCACTCCATGTAATGCAAATGCGGGTAAAAAATCCCCACAAAGGCTAGTTTTTCATATTGTTTGATCCAGGAGTTCCCTTGTCTTCTAGATTGGGTTCAAAATTAGAAGAGTACAGAGTTGAACAATGATGGTTATTTACTCAAAAATTGGATCGGCTGTTCAACAAGTTTTATAAAATAAAATGAGCCTTGGAAATGGACTCTTAGATTTTTGCGCACTGTTTGAAATAAATCAGACGCATATTGTGCAATGAAAATATTCTAATTAGCCTGAAGGTGTAGATAGACGAACTAAAATAAGTCTTAAGGGTCAGGCTTATTAGAAAAATACTGGAGACTATGCAGCCTAGCCATTGCAAAATAACACTAGCTATTTGCAATTAACCTACGTCGCATATGAAACTTATTTTGGTAAATATATTCATTTATAATAAGATATGTTTTAATAAGAGAGTTTTAAATAAGAAAATGTGTTTTTAATAAATAAAAAAATAGCTTCCTCTGTTTTTAAATTTTCTAAAACAGACGCTTCTAAACTAACAGTCTACGAAGCTCTTTAATTAATATCTGTTTTGAAGTAAAATAACTGCCAAATTTGATTAATGCTTATTCAAATTTTAAACAATAATAATTCAAAAAATTTCTTCTTTTACTTATTTTAAAATAGCAACGGAATCAACCAAAGAAGTGATGAGACAGCGGTAAAAAAATTTAAAAAAAAACAAAATTTCCAGTGAATTCAAAAATAAATAATAAAACAAATTTCAACTCTCTGAACGAGCTTAATTAACTCTGAATCTTTCTTAAGAAATTTTAAAACAGCCATTAATTCAATTTCATCAGGAAAATTATCACACTATGAATTTATTTAGTATGTACACTACTTTTACGTACAATTCACTTTTTAATAAAAAATTGATATCTGCTTTTATTTTTTAAAAAAAATATTTCTCTTGAAATATTGTTCCATAAATTTAAAAGCTGTCAAAAATACCCGGGTTCTTAAAACGTCTAGACAAATCAACGTCATACTGAGAAAAAGGAAAAAAGAAGCTATTCACTCTTTAATTTTTAATTATTTTCTCTTTTACTTTCTTGTTGTTGTTAAAGTTTCCTTAATTCAATCTACATCTTTTCGTGGAATTTCTTTCTTTTTTTATTAATATTGATTATTGAACTATCCTGTTTAATAATATTTTCCTTTAAGTTTCTTTAAAAATTTTATAAATGAGTATCATCAATATTATTTATTTATTTATTTGAACATAATGAATTCCTTTTATCTGTTATCATTTGATAGGTGTTCTTTTAACAAACATAAAATCATTGATAAATCTGAGCTAGTATAATGAGTATTTTTAATATAAATAATAAAGAAGAAAAGATTTTTACTGAAATTCATTGTCTTAAGTGATTAGAATCTGCAGCGGTAATTTTTTCATTTTTACTTATTTAATAGCAACAGAATGGTATAGGTTCAAACAATACTTGCTGTTATTTGTAAACTCATTAAATCAGCGGTTCCCAATTTTTTTCAGCTACGGAACCCTTAGCGATCAAACTTCTCTTGGCGGAACCCCTGACTTATAAATAATGTTCATTAGCAAGTGCGAATATTGCTAACCAAAAATATTTAGAAACGTTTAATGTGAAAAATAAAATTTTTTCATTGTTTCATCAGCGATACTCATTAAATTTGGTTTAATGTTGAATTCGAAAGTCTAAAGCGGCTTAAAGCTTTGTATTTTCTGGCGTATACATAAATAAAATAAGCTGAATAGTTTCATGTGACATTCATAAAATTTGATTTAATGCTGAATTCGAAAGTCTGAAGCGGCTTAAAGCCTTGTATTTTCTGGCGTATACATAAATAAAATAAGCTGAATTGTTTCATCAGTGACAGTCATAAAATTTGGTTTCATGTTGAATTCGAAAGTCTAAAGCGGCTTTTAGTCTTGTATTTTTTGTCGTATATATTGTAAGAACTAGTATAACGTACTCATATTTGAGGGAACCAAAGACAACATGATTAAAATCAGAGGAGGAAAATAAAAGATCAGTCACAAAACTGGAACTCGACAATATAAATAAAATTGAATTAAATAATCTGAATTTTTTCTGCAGTGTCAGTCATAAAATTTGGTTTTATGTTGAATTCGAAAGTCTAACGCGGCTTTTAGTCTTGTATTTTTTGTCGTATATGTAAATGAAATTGAATAAAATAATCTGAATGATGGTTTTTGGAAAAGAACTGTTTAAGAAATGAAAATTGAGTTAATTTCAAATCAAACTGAACATCAATTTTTAACAATATTATAGCTTGCACAAAATAAACAAAAAGTAAAGTGCAAAACGCTGCAAAATCGCTAGGAGTATCCTTATATAAAATTATTTGGGCAACTGGCAAATTTTGCTTTTAAATGGAAAAAGGAAATGGTTGATAAATCAGTTTTCATTTCTATTTCCACGTTTTTAAAATACATTGAAACTTTAAAATTTGGTGAAATAACTGATAAAGTCTATTTAATGCACACTGATTTGAAAAACGTTTACGATTTACTCAAAACTTCTTAGGAATTTTTAAATATGTGCGAAATTTTCGTGCGCTGCAACTCATTTCTAAACTTTTGCTGAACATCACTGCAAAGGCAGTGTATGAACTGTTGATTTAACAATAAAATCCAATTAAAGAATAAAAACAAACATTGCCAACGGCTATCCATGTTCAACAAGATAAAAATCTTTATTTTTCACATGTTAGTTTTTCTATGGGCAAAGAGTGTTAACAACACTAACAACCATCTGGCTTTCTTTTTTTTCTCTTGTATCCTTGAAGTATTATTTTTTTTACTCTATAAAGAGCCAAGCAAAAAGGGCAAACAGACGAAGAAGCACTCGAAACTTCATGGTGCAATGAACAAGTTACATAAACCACTGATGTGTTTCATTTCCTAATCTTAGCACGCCCCCCCCCTCCCCAAAAGCAGCCTATAGTACACCCTAAAGAAAATGACTTTTTAGGATGGAACTCTTAATGAAGTTCCCTTCTTTTGTAATTCTTTTTTCCTTTATATATTCTTTTCTTTTGTTTAAGTACACCCAATCAAGAATTCCACTCTCTCAAACACCTCGTTTCCAAGTCTTGGATTACAACGTAGAAAATAATTTGTCTTAGATTTCAAGTTGATGAATCTTCTGAAGCGTTTACATAGTTGATGGCGTTCGTAAAAACAAACTGAATTTTTACCGTTAGTTTTCCTAGTTAGTTTTTTAAATCAATTTACGTGCTCTTTCGTATTTCTCAATTATTGTTGATAAGTTCATAATTAGTGAAAAGTTTAGCGGATGAAAGTTCAAAATGTCATTTTGATAAATTACCTTGAAAGCTCATTCATTGATAATTTGAAATAAAGATTAAGCCTTGCCTTCATTTTTTGTCAAAACCCTACCATTGACGAATTCTATACATAATTCAAACTGTCTTATGCTTCTTCTATGCATA